TAACCCTACCCTAACCCCTAAATCCTAAACCCTAAACCCTAAACCCCAAACCCTAAAACCCTAAACCCTGAACACTGAACCCTAAACCCTAAACCCTAAACCCTAAACCCTAAACCCTGAACCTAACCCCCGACATCCTCAAACCTCGGCTTAGAGTCCCAAATCCTGAAACTGGAAGTCTCTCATCAAGTGCATACCGTTTCTTGGGGTTTAGTTTTTAGTGTTTAGGGTTTAGGGTTTAGGGGTTTAGGGGTTTAGTGTTTAGGGTTTAGGGTTTAGGGTTTTAGTGTTTAGGGTGCAGGGTTGGGGTTTTAGGTTTCAGATGTTGATCTCACCCTGAAAACCGCTGAAGCCTGATCACATGTAGCGTTGCAAGGTCAAGGTTTTGGGCGTCGTAGTTGAGGAACGTGCCTCATTTCAGATCTTCTGAGTTTTACTTCAGGATTAGGGTTTGTTTCGGGGTCAGGTTTCAGGGTTCCATGGGTTAAGAAGAATCAATGCGCGCGTCGTCTAAAAAGGATGTCATGGCAACATGCCGTGCGTCAGCGCGAAGGATTCGCCTCGTCGGCACGAAACGGCAGAGTGTGTTGAATCCCTTAACGGCCAGCCCTAACCCCAGACCCCAAACCCCGAACCCCGAACCCCAAACCCCAAACCCCAAACCCCAAACCCCAAACCCTAAACCCTAAACCCTAACCTGAAGTCGGCAGTCTCACTGGGCCAGCCACCCCTGAACCCCAAAGTCATCATTTGGGCTGATGCACTGCAGCTGCGCCTATAAAAACCCCTCGGCAGTTTTGCAAAATGCTCACGAAACCCCGCAAAACAAAAGAGCCAGTACCCAGAGAACCCAATACCCCTTAGTTAAGGAATATACCTTAAATTATAGTAGGTTCCTAATATGATTTAAGGCATATTCCTTAATTAAGGGGTATTGGAGTCTCTGGGGAGCCAGTAAACAGACTTTGGAGGAACCTTGCATGGCTCCCTTCACTGATCGAAAACGTTTGGCTTTGGGCCAAAGGGGCCTTAAATTGATAGTTGCAGTAATATAGGATTCTGATTAAGAAACCCTGGGCTTTATTATGGCTCTGAATATGAACCCTAATATATGGGGGGTTAGAGGGTCAGGGTTCTTAATCAGGTTCCTACCTTACCACCTGCAACTTTCTCAGCAACTCTGAAGCTCCTAAATCCTAAACCCTGAAGCCTCAAACCCCGAACCCTGGGCCCCAAAACCCAGTGATCAAGGAATGTGCGGCAAGTTATGGTGCTAACCTCTTGATTAAGGAGGCTTAGGGTTTGGGCTCTGGGTCAACCCGAAACCCGAAACCCTAAAACCCCAAAACCCCTAAACCCATACCATGATTTAAGCGATATTCCCAGCTGGGAAACCCTGAGGAGCTATGTGCCCCCACCGCTAATGGACGCTGCCACCGGCTCCTTCGTTCCACCAGTGGCTGCGAGCGGGAGCCGGGTACCCAGACCCTAAACGCTGGGGTTTAGGCTTTAGGGATTTAGGGTTTAGGGTTCGGGTTTAGGGTTTTAAACCCGGGGGTTTAGGGTTTAGGGGTTTAGGGTCTAGTGCTTTAGGGTTTTTGGTTTGGGGGTTTAGGGTTTAAGGTTTAAGGTTTAGGGTTAGGGTAAACCCTAACCCTGACTCCAAACCCAAAACCGCCAAACCCCAAACCCCGAAAATCGTAAACCCATAAGCCTAAGCCCTAAACGCAAACCCAACAAGCCTACGCCCCAATCGTAAGCCAATAAGCCTAAGCCGCATATAAGCCCTAAGCCCTTGAAAGCCTAAAGCATAAGCGCCGAGACCCCAAACCCTGAACGGTCGACTCTGCCCTAGCCCTGAGCCTGTAAGCATGATCTTGTCACCGTGTCGCTGAACACCGCAAGGGAGATTGACTGGAGCAATGTAGGGCCCTAAAAACTTCAGTAGGGCTCTAGGGCACACTGCCGTCGAGTTAGCACCGGAGAACTTCAGGAATACTGCTCCTAGACAAGTGGGTTTACGAGGCTTCACACCGAAGTTGCAACGTGCCTCCTAGTTTCCGGGTTTCGAGCGTCCGGTTCCAGTTCGGTCACGGGATGCGTAAACTGCAGATCTCGGGGCGCAAGGTCGGCATGTGGAGACAAGAAGCTGCACGAGCGTTTGTTGTCTATGGTGCATCTGATCTAAGCTTGACTCACAAGGTCCATGAATACTTCAAGCACGCTTGGAGCTATACTGCCGCGGAGAGAAGTATAAGTAGAGACAGCCCCAATCAGTCTTTCTACAGGACTGCTGATCTTTAAATCCTTAGCCTTGTGAAGCTTCCAAAGCCCCGCATCTCACTTATGTAACTACTGGCTACTCTACTATACTATACTATACTATACTAACTATACTATACTATACCAGACTAGACGGGTTTAGGGTTTAGGGTTTAGGGTTTAGGGTTTAGGGTTTAGGGTTTAGGGTACTATACTATACCTCCTGAGCCTTTACTCTCCGAAACTGGCCGGAGCCGCGCTTGTAACTTACAACTTCTTGCCCTAAGGGTCCAAGTAGTCCGTTTTTTTATGGCTGTAGGTACCCAAAAAGGCCCCAAAGTCCTTAAATAATGGGTACTTGGACCCTTAGAATTATGAACCTTGGCTACGATAGAACGTTTAAACTGCTGCAGGGACTCAAACCCAAATTGTAACCCTAAACCCCTAAAACCTAAACCCGAAACCCTGTAACTTGGAAGCTTTTGAACATGTCTTGCCTGTCAAGCTCCACTGCGATTCAGGCTAACCCCTGGGCTTGGGCCAAGGGACTTTATGGTTGAGGGGCTTAGGTTTCAATAATGTCGACCCGAAAAGCCCCTAAACCCCTAAACCCCAAACCCATAAACTCCTAAACCCTAAACCCGAACTCCCTTGAAGGGGTTTAGGCGTTTAGGGAATGCGAGGCTTCTTTGGGGTTCCTAAAAGGGAGCCCCAATTCAGAGAGCTAGCCTTATGCTGCCCTTACGGCATAGGCCCAAAAGTGTGAAACCCAATAGCCTCACTCCTTAAGATTAGTAATTATAGGGAATCCCAGCACTACTTGTCCTTAATCCGGCTTCCAACTTGTTGGGGTTTACTATATATTTTGGGGTGGTTCCTTATTATTAGTATAGTATAGAGGACCCCCAAAATTCTATTCTAACTACTAAGGCCCCTGCATTACCCATATCAAAATCCCAGACCCTGGAGCCACAGAGCCGACCGTGCTTCATCCGTCTCCGCCAACGCTAAGGCTTCACCTACCCAGGCAACCCGGCGCCCCGGGCAGACAGGTTAGCCAAATATAGCAACATGATTAAGAAACCATGGGTCTTTATTAGGATTCTGTATATGAGTCCTAGTATTTTGGGGTTGTAGGGCCAGGGTTATGGTTTACATAGGGTCCGGAATCTGACTGGCTGGGGTATAATAGGGGCTAGTATACGGCTGCGGGTTCGATACAATCTGGGTGTTGCATCAGTTTGCAAGTAGCTTCCAGATTTGGTGGGCAGACCAGATTGTCAAAATCCCAATCGCAGTTTTCCGTTTCCTGCCTACTGGCTCCACGAGGGTCGTGTGTTCAAAGGTTCATGGTCTTCGGTGCCATACATAGCTGGGCAGTTGGTTCTCCGAGCAAAGCCCCAGTGTCCGTCTTTCCGTGCGCGAAATGAAGCCTTGGAGGTCTCAGAGTTTCGGATGAGCGCCCCAAGACCTACACTTCCCTGCACGTAGTCCTTATCTTCTACAATCGAAGAGCAAGCTTGTGAAGGCTTGCCCACCGTCGGCTCGTTTGTGCTTGAGACCCAGATTCTGTGCTTGCTTGGCATGGTTATGACAGCAGCAGTGATGCTAGGGACTTCATGCGCTAGGATGGGGGAACACCCCTTCTTAGTGTTTGGAGCTTGAGATTCAAGGTTCGGGGCTGGAAGGGTCCAAGACATGCAATACAGTGAGGCTTACAGCGTAGTTCCGGTGCAAAGTTCACGATGTTTTGGGAGTTGGCACAGGCCGTAAGACCAGAAAAACGGGCGCTGAAGTCCGTGCTCATGCGCTGAACCTTGAGGGCCCGAACCCTAGACTCCTTAAGCCTACCTGCAGTCTCCATTGTACTTCCTTGTTGGGTTTACCTCTTTTAGGATCCTTAATATAAAATTGGTTAAACCAAAAAAAGGAGCTACAATGGAGACTCTAGGTAGTATTCATAAACCTATAGCAATGTAGCGTGGCTCAACGGCCTAAGCTGTTCCACGGGGCTTTAGGGTTTAGGCGTTTGCAGGCTTAAGCCTTCGCAGGCGAAACAGGGCTTTCTTGCAGAGGCTCCAATGCCAATAAAGATCCCAAACAATTACCTATAATTATAAGTGTGCCGGAATATACCCCAAGAACCCTCTTCTAAGTATTATAAGGCCCCTACAGTAGTCCTTTGAGCCGTCATGTTCATCACGTGGCGGGTGTTCGTGTATGTACAGCCTCCGCGAGGCCTGACCTGTTACTTGCTGAGGGTTTTAGGGTTTAGGGTTTTAGGGTTTAGGGCCTTTGGGTTTTAGGGTCTAGGGTTTAGGGCTTTAGGGTTTTAGGGTTTAGGGTTTTCGGGTTTTAGGGTTTTAGGGTTTAGGGTTTGGGTTTAGGGTCAAGCATTTCGCCTGAACTTCAATTTGTTGAGCATCCGCAGGCCTCCCCTCAACCCCAAATTGGAAAGTGAACCTATTGCCCCTAAGCCCTAAAACCCTGAAG